TATAACCGCGAGTACTATTAGGCACGAGTATTTAGGTAGGCGATGGACTCGAAAACGACGGACGAGAATCATCGCTTCCCATCATATCATATAATAATACAAGAGTGTTAAAACGCCGTAAAACCACTTAAACGCGTTGAATATTTTAAACGTAATATTATTATTACCTATATTACGTGTGTGCATATAGGCTCGAAAGACTCGCGTATACGATCATATTATGTAAATATAAACGCACTGCCGCGCAAAGGTATATTTTGTACGACCGAGTGAAATAATTGGAAGCGACTTGTACGCCGGGTGCGTGGATTTATAAACGCTATAATATACAGCTCCTCATCGGCTCGTTAGAACCGATATTATTTTTTACTATGATATTTCCGTTTGTTGTTTGTTTGTGTATTTTTTTTTTTTATGCAAATCGAGTTAATTAGTTTATGTAAAACACTGCTCGCGCACTGTGTGCGCGCGCGAGCGCGCGTGTGTGTGCGTCTGTGTTTTTTGATGGCGGCGATGATGTCAAAACGTGTATTTGTTTATTTTACGACTAATTAAAAAAAAAAAAAAATCTTTTTTGAGAAAATCGCTTCCCGGACACGACTACTCATCTCGGATACACGATTGTATAGAAAAAAAACCAACAAAATTGGTACACCGAAAGCGGCAATAATATTATACGAATAAATTAAACTATTCTCATCGGGACCGATAATAATATACGTATACACACTTTATTTACTTATTATAAATTAAAACGTCCGTCATTTCGACGAAGGAAGAAAAAAAAAACGCGCCGACAACACCGATGATGTTTAATTATTATTGTATTATTGAGACGAAAACGCGGTTTTTGTCGTATCCTATGTTCAAAATAAACATCACGCGTCTGATCCGGCTGTAAACTGTCCGGTTTTTTTTTTTTTTTTAATAATTTCTATTATTTTTTTTTCCTAATCCGTATCATCATTATGATAGGGACGATCCGATTATATTATTATATTTAATCGATTCGTGTTTGTGTTTACGACCGACGACGACGGTACATAATGATAGTCTAAAAAAAAAAAAACAAATATTTGATTACAAAAAAACACGTTTTACGTACCCGTAATCCAAAATCGTTTTTCGAATATTATATTACCGTCGATGTGGAGATGATTAACACGTCCAAAAAAAAAATTGACCGTTCCCGAGCTATACGATGAAAAAAAAAAACCGTTTATATCGGTAAACTATAGGGAGCTGATTGTTTTTTCTCCACTTTTTAATCGATTAAAATAACAATTTCATTAAACATGATATCAACTCGCCCGATTATGTTTGTTTTATATTTCACCGCCGAAATTCTTATTTGAATACGCTCGTCGCACACGTATATATTAGTTGTTGAGATTTACGGTAAATAGATTGCCGACAAAACTTTACTAACCTTAATCGAAAATCTAAAATATATTTATAATACTTACCGACATGATTCGCTACAAGAAACACGCTACTTTGAAGTTTTTTTTTTTTTTTTTTTATTGCAGCAAGTCGGACAGCCTGAAGAAAACAAGAAGAATTATAGGTACACATATAAAATGGCATTTATAGTAAATCAAAGAATACGCCATATGAAATATAATTGATATATGCGTTTCAAATTTGTGATTTCCTCTTTGTACGGCTATCAAAACTATCTGAATATTATGAAATAACACGTAACTATATATCATCGTCGTCACGAACCTCTGAACCACTGCGAATACGTTTTCGCGAAACTCAATGAAAAAATATTGCTTAACGTACCTACTGTAATTGTTTATTAAAAGTAAATAAGGTTTCAACAACGATCAATTATACCGTTGACGTTTCGCCGTCACATAAAGATAAACTAAACCGAATCAGTGGCGTATTTACGAACGGGGACCGCCATCTCCAGAGGTGCACGACTTCGACAAAATCAGCGGAGTTGGTACGCATGATTTTGGTGGACCTATAGACATGTCTAAACGTTAGTTAATGTACTCTCCGGCTCTCCAAAAAAAAAACAAGTTATAAATACGCGACTGTCTCGAAAGCAAAACTTACTAATAAATAGGGATGAATAATTAAGGATCTCGTCAACGAAAATACTTAAGTACCTATTAGTTTATTTTGTTGATACCTAAATGGGGATGTAATTTTCTTTTCGTCTGCTCCGTACTTAGTCCTTGCAAGTCGATTTTATTCATAAAATTGTACAGGAGAAATGAAAAAGTACGGTTCACTTAAAAAATGTGAGCCGAGTTCCAAATGTTTGTTTCACTTTTTCGAAGATTAAAATTGTTCTATTGATACGAACTGATTGATCGAAAACCTTTCAGAGAAGTCTGTGTTAATTTTTTTTTTTGTATGACAATATCATGTGAAAATTCCGTGAAAATGTAATCACGTATTGGTATCAAACTGTGTAGAATAATAAATTCGCTATTAAAAACTATTCGCACAGAAAAATCATTCTGCAGCAGATTTTATAGCTGTCGGACTTTGTGAATCAATTATTACACAATCAGTATTGTATCCTAAACTTAAAAGTTACGTGTATAGAAGGCATTTACACCGTGCCAGTAAATTTATGACGTGTACCTATACTAAAAACATCCGAAAATAAACATCAGAACGAAATCGCCGAATCGTCGTTCGACGGACCATCAAGGGAAAAAAATTATATATTCGTCTGTTTTTTCCTTCCGATTTTCGTTGTCGGCGTCTATCGCGTGCGACTCGCACACAAATCGTCGTGAACCACACCCTGCGGCGACCGAAACGAATAACGAAAATCTCCTCGTCGATTTATAGACTTCCGTTTGTCGGCTGCGTGCGCGACCGTTTATCGTTCGTGGAAGACCGGCAATAAAATACAAAACGAAAATTGCGCCACCGCGCGTTCAAAAGAATAAAAACAAAACAGTAATCTATAAGAATACAATAATAATAATTACAATAGCGCACGCAGTAGTCGATGGAGAAAAAAAAATAAATAAATAACACGGTTTGCGGGAAGCAGGTTTACGTCCGGTCGCAAATCAGCCTCCGGTCAAAAGAAAAACTACCGAAAGTGAATATTAAACTGGGGGTTTAGGCCGGTATCGTTAGCTTAAAAGACGTTTAGGCTTTGATCAGATAACATGACTCGATTTTTTATTTCTCGCAAGTCTCAAACGTATCGAGCGTAGATAATACGAGAGTAAATCTAAGGTTTTGGTTGGTATTTTTAATCCGTGCGGTTTGTGTACCACAATTATCGTTGTTTTACAAAAGCTAAATAATTGTGTAATATGCGTTCGCGAAGTTGGCGTAACATATTTCGTGTTTTAGTTACTGAAAAATCAATAGTTGCTGAAGTTCTTCTGTCGGTAATAATATTCATAGTCAGTTAAATTCTGAACCATAAGATAAATTAAAACGGCAATGAACTTAATCCGCGATGTTTGATTGATGACTCGATTTTTATTAAACCTTTTGAACTTGCTGAAATTATGTATTACATTAACACATTAGAAATGTTTGGTGGCTTTAAATACTCTAGTATTTCAAACGAAACGCTTAAAAACCCGCTTCTCAGATTTCTGTACCCTTAAGTGTTATCTTTAATTTAGCCGTATTATATCCTTTGATTCGCAATTGTTAAATTGAAAAAAAAAATTGTGGCCGTTGGCATTATACAATATCATAGGCCCGTTTTAAACAGTATAACGGCGCCACTGTTAATATATGAGTTTACACACGATATAAAGGCATACGATACAAAGGCTCGTCGTGTCGGTTCCGGATACCGTCGGACGTGTCGAGATCAAGAGGGTCGTATATTATAACGCGCGTTATTGTATATAACGATATGTTTCGACGGCAATCCGTAAACGCGTTCGTTTAGATAAATCCGTCGTCGGCAAGCAGAGAGACGACGACGGATTACACGTGTAATTACACGGGGATTCTGGACGGTAAGAAAAAAAAAAAATAATAAAAATAAAACGGGATCGATTTCGTGGCGATCGCATTGTACACTCGCCGCCATCGCGCCGCCCCCGATGATTGATCGAATTCCGTCCGACCGCCACAAACGCTATAATAATATTTTTACGTACCTATATACGCATAAATAATATTCTTCGGGTATTGGGTGTGAAATTTATGCCCTCCGGGTCCGCCGGCCGATGAATAATAATAATATGGCGGCGGCGGCGGCGGTGGCGAAGGCGGCGTTCATTACGCGCGACGCTGTCATTGAAGTCTCCCAGCGCGCGCGTTTACACGTGCAGCAGTATGCATGCATACTATGTATCGTAGTAACATTATAGAGTTTAAATGATAAAAAATGGGTTGAAAAACTATGTTTTCTCTCTTTCTACGCGCGTGTACATACGCGGGTCACTGGGTACGCATGTTATGCGGCTGCAGGTATCTCTCCGTCTGTGTGCGTCTTTCATCGTGTCCGTCCGCCGCAGTTTCCTCCGCACGTGCACCACTTGTACCCGTATTATTATTACAACAATATTCTCTTTGTGCGCCGCAGTCTTTCCGCCTTTCGTGGCCGTCCCCGACCGATTTAATGAACGAGCAGCGGCCCCGCGTTTAATTACCTCGGCTGCGCGTATTTATACTGGCGGGCAGATTGACGAGGTGGACACGGGCAACCGGACCGCGGTCATTACGCGCGTAATAATAATTTTAATAATATTAATCGTGGCCCGCCGACTCTCGGTCCGGGGATCGGCACGCCGCCGCCACCGTTTATTATCGGACGCTTTTTGTTTCGCTGTCTCGTATATTGCGTAACGTTATTGCAACACTCGGACCCGGTCCGATTTTCCGAATGTCCCGCGACCGACTGTTTCGGTCGGTAAAGGATATTCGGTTGTTTCAGCGAATATTGCACAGCGAAAGGATTTGCGTATGCGATTTGTAAACGGGAAACGACGAGAATATGTTCTAAGGATCGGTTAAAGGACACTCACGCATAATCAATTAACACTAAACGGTATTTTAATATATTTTACAAATTCATTTTTTTTTTCTATAATAATATCTTCCAAAATGACCTTTCTCCAAAATATCATCTTAGATCCCCGAACTAAACACATTCAGTTAAAGTACACCGGAACTAAAATTACTAATGCTAGTCTTGCACGGCAAACTTTTGTTACAGTTTATAACTGGAAAAGACTAAAAGCGGTCCAAAATACATAATATAACGATCCGGACAATCACTTGCTTGGTTTATTAGAAACTCCACAACCAAGAACTCGACGAAAATAGCCAACATCCACGAAACAATCGTTGAACCGTCTCCACAAATGTTTTGCGAGGCATAAAACTCCAAGCAACTTCATAATATCGAAAACCTGTAGTCACGATTTTTATGATTTTTTTTTTTTTTATATTTATACCTTATAAAAACGGTATGGCCGCATAAAAAATGCTCGGCATTTTGATAAAATTTCACCATGTAAGAACGCGAGCTGTTCTTACTGGTCACGTGTACAAAAAAACGAAACGAAATTCTCGTGTCGTCCCGAGGCGACCTGGCTGGGTTTCCCGGTTAGGTCCACCGCCGTCAGAGTACTCCCACGAGTGCGTTATGCGCGATAGTAGAGTGATGTTTCGAGTCCGATGTACGGTCGAGATAACTTCGTCGTCGGGTCTTCTGCCGAGTAAACACGTGGTAAATTTGTGCTAATCCGCAGGTCCGATCTGACCGACAAAATAAAAAATAATAATGATAATAGGTACGTTCGTAATAATAAGTACCTACTATTATAAATTACACGTGAGTCCTTGAACGCCGACGACGCCGCCACCGACAGAAACGCCTCGAGTATACGATTTTACGTCTCTAGAACAAATTCAATTTCATTATCCGCTTGAGATTCGGTTAGGTTGATTTTTAATAATGCAATACGAACAAATTTCATTATTTTTTTCTGCTTGATCACATTGATAATATAGATGAAAAAAACAGTTACTATTGATATTTAATTCGGTTGTTACAGACAATGTAGAGCCCCAAGAGTCACTATTATCGCGTGACATCGATTAACTGTGATAGATATTGAGCGGAAATGGACAATCCCGTTGGATCGAATTTCTTTTATTGATTTCTCTTTTTCAAAGGACTAATAAAATATCGTTGTAGAACGTAAAAATAAAAATCATCTGGAAATAGAATTTGAGAAATATTTAAAACACTGAAAACTATGTAAATACGTAAATACGATATGTAAACTACTAAACTTTACAACAAGGCACTTGTTGAAAGGCTATACAGTTTTTAAAATGTTTACTAATCGATATGTTTGACAAAAGAAAAATAATCAACAGTGTAGACATCGCATAGATGACTCAATTCAAAAGCCATAATTATTTTTATTCAAATAAATATATATATGTTATTTTTAAATAAAAAGTAACTAGTCGTTTCTAATTTATAATTATTATACGAATAAATGTCATCTCGTCGGGCAACGAAAAAATATTAAAATATCAAAGTACAAAGTTAATGGTTAAATGCATACGTAAAGAACATATTACTGTATACCTCCCCGGACCACCCCCCCCCCATAATCCGAGATTTGTTTAACTTTTTTTTTTTTTTCAGACATGTTTTAAGTGGTTTTTACAGAACTACCATAAACATCAGGTCCCTGATAATAATTGTATCGTACACACAGCGAAAATGCCGGCCAGTGAATATGTTTGACTGGAACACTGTACGATAGTAACGTTGTTATTATAATATGAACAATGCGATTGTGATGCGCGTAGGCAATAGATTTCCCCGGTTCTCGGCGGATCGACGGCGACCGTCCCGTCGCTGCCAACGGTTGGTCAACTCTTCGCCCGTGCAATGTAATGTCCGCTCGTCGTGAACAGTCGCAGGTATCTGGTATTAAAAAAATTATAAATAAAACATTATTTCAACAGTGTTCGGTTTTATATTGTTATCGCGTCGCGCAATGAATTAACGTCACGCTGCCGCCGCCGTCGTCGTCGTCGTCCGTTTTTCGAACGTAAGAAAAAAAAAAAAAAAAAAAAACAACAACAGACAAAAGTTCCGTTCGCCAGAGGTATACAGGTACCGTTATGACTACGGGATAATACAATTCGAAATAATATTTAAGTGAATAATATTGTTCGTGTTTTGGTGTATTGGTTTACGTATTACCGTTCGTGAATTTCATTCGGAGGATCGGCGACGGCGTTCCGGTCGGTCTATTAGACCCGCGAACCCGGCAAAACCGTAGGGATCGCGTTTGACGGATTACGATTCATTACGTGCACTACTGTAAAATATTTAAAAAGTAGACATTCGATTGTTTCAAATGGTCGACAAAGTTCGATTGTGTGTGCGGGGGTTTTTTTTTGTTTCTCAAATATACATAAAGTATGTCGCCCTTTACTATTGTGAAAACGATAATTGAAACCAAAAACGCATCCCAACGTATCGGAATAAGTTTTCAAAATTTAAATCCGCCAAACGTAATCCCTACGGTAAAGTTGTGACAGGTTTTGTGTCGTGGATCGGTGTAAGCAAACATTCGAGTATATTTTTACGTTGCATACAAAACTGATATGGAAAAAAAAAACCGACAAATCTCGTACTTCTGCACTGGGATAAGGTCAAATACTCGAATTATTAAACTAATTCCAGGAGTATTGCACTCGAGTTAAAAAAAAAAAAAAAAAAATAATGGTCGAAGCTTGTCTAACCTAACCCCGCTGTAAATAACGTTTTTTTATTTTTTTGTTTTTAAGTGCAGTTTGACCGTTACAGATTTTTCACCGTCATCTTTTGTTCAACCCGATATCGCAACGATTCCACTATCGTTGAAAAAAAAAAAAAACAATGATTTTGACACCCGTTTTCGTCCCGTTCTATCGGACTCGGATCGGACCGGATTCGGTCGTAAATATAACGCCGTAACGGGTACAATTCGATTTATTCCGTTTCGCAGACCGAACCGAACTCTTCGAAACGAAAAAAAAAAAGGATAAACGACCAACGACGACGACGACGACGACGGATCATTGTGTAACGTTTTCAATCCGACGGAAACTCGACACGGCGTTCTTTCCGCACCCGTGTCTGTCTCTGTCTCGCGCGCGCGCGCACGCGTTACCGCGTTCCGTTCACGAGACCAGGCCGGCCGCCGATCTCGATCGCCTTTCCCGGCGCCGCCACCGCCGTGGGTTATAATAATAATAATAATTTGTTTTTATTTTTTTTTTTTTTCTAGATTCGGAGAGTTTTTTTTTTTATGTATTTTTTTTTTTTTTTCCCCCCGGGTCGTTGTTTACGTTTTCCCCGTCGGCGCCGGCCGAATTTACGACCCGGACCGTTCCTCGATCCGCCACGAAAACGCGCCGGACCGTCATCGTTTCGGGACCGTAACGCCGGATTTACGATAGCGTTGCCGTCGCGTGCGCGTGCGACGGTAATAAACCCGTAACCGCGCCGTCGCGCCGCGCGTACGGCCGTCGCCCCCGGGAACCCGCGTAACGTCCGCGACGCTGTTCCGGACACCACGAGTGCGGCGGGGCGTATGGCACGGGCACCGTGACTTTCGGTACCGAAACCGCATTAACGCGCGGGAACGTCACCGTTTTACGCGTACGGGAGCGCGCGCGGCATGGTGTGATAACGCGCTGTCGTCCCGCGGGCGTCCGGCGGCGTTTCGCGCGCGCGTAAATAAGCGTTTCTCTACGTCGGACGGCCGGTTATAAACATTTTTATGTTTCGTTCGAATGTCCGAACGAACGAAAAAAACGGCGTCGTTTCGTTGCCGCCGTTTCATCGGGTGAGGGGGCGGGGAGGCGGACCGCCGTTACGTCGAAATAAACGTCCCCCTAACAATAAACGGGGTAAATAAGTTAATACCTCGATAGCCCGTTGAACGGCGGGTTGACGGGTCGACTTATTATAATTATTATTATTTTTTTTTTTTTTTTTCCCGGAAATTCATTTTAAACGTCAAAAACGAGAAAACCGTGGTGCTCTTTACGATTCCGCCGAAGATCGGGTGTTTAAAACCATTAGATATGCGTTATTTCGACACATTTGGCCCGCTGTTTTAGGCGTTAAGTTGGGAAGGTAGAATGGAGATTTAATGTGCATTTGCACGCAGCGTATCATTTATTATGAAAACCCCCCCCCGGGAAAATCAACAAATTACCTCCCGAAAGTACCACCCCAGTCAGATTTTCTTTCGGAATAAGTGCAACATTTGAAAATCGGAGCAAACTTTCCGACAGAAAAGCTGTTTGCAGAAAAAAATGAATAAATCAAAATAAACATCGTTGTAAAACCAATACATTGCTCGTTCCGCTCAGAATCTAAAAATCTAATTATGAAATTAGTGCGTGTATACACTTTTGTTAAAACGGTTTTATTTAATCGTGCGATTTTTTATACATATTTACTTGTATTATTATTGTTATTATATTATATATTTTGTATTGAATTATTTAAATACCATGTGGTTTATTTTTAAAAAAAATCAATTCGTCTTATCGCCGGCCTATTGACTGAAACGAATTGTATTATTTTATCGCTATCAAAGTATTGCTCGAGGTACGTGGTTTCCAAACGATACTCGGCGGAAACGTCTTTTTGCCAAATACATTTTTCCGGGAAATTGGAATCGTACCGTTTTCGTTTCCGGCGGAAATAACGGCTGTGCCGGTATTAGGAAATGGGTTTTTATTTTTATTTTTCGGCGGCAAAAGGCTATGCCCGGGCAGAAATACGATTGAAAACTGTCGTTAACGTCGATACCATTTTTAAACCCGTTCGGCTATTGCGATTGAGAACGCTCGGTTTTTTTTTTTTTTCATTTTAGTTCTACGCGACGTTGCCAAATACGCGGCAATCCGAAAATCCAACCACACAGAACTATTATAGCAATCGAAAATGTATGCATTTCGACTTATATTCCTAACGCATAGTAATAACTGTCAAAATAAATGCCCGCAATACTCAATCATAACCGCTAGGGTCCCGCACCCGACTCGGACGCGGCGCGCATCAATGATCAATGACATTTTTTAAAATTTTTTTTTTTTACACAACGTTATAATAAACTCGCATGCGGTTTCTTTGTTTCTCAACTATTATTTGTGCGCATAAATACTATCGGTATAATATTATAAAACATCGCGTTAACCGTATACACGAAAACTATTGTAATTTCCGATCGCGCGATTTGATTTTATCAGTGATAATATAGGTGTATACAGGTACCGGTGAATAATATTCATCGGCCGCGAAAACGTCTAAATAATAATATTGAATTTAGTGTTTTTTTTTTTTTTTTCAATACACCTTTAAC